CCCGCCCCCCCCCCCACGGCTGGATGGGAGCCAGCCCCCCCTAGAAGTGTCCCATTCCCTGCCCCCTGACCCAGCCAGCCCCCTGCCCCACGGCTGGATGGGAGCCAGCACCCCCTAGAAGTGTCCCATTCCCTGTCCCCCAACCCAGCCAGCCCCCTGCCCCACGGCTGGATGGGAGCCAGCACCCCCTAGAAGTGTCCCATTCCCTGTCCCCCAACCCAGCCAGCCCCCTGCCCCACGGCTGGATGGGAGCCAGCACCCCCTAGAAGTGTCCCATTCCCTGTCCCCCAACCCAGCCAGCCCCCTGCCCCACGGCTGGATGGGAGCCAGCACCCCCTAGAAGTGTCCCATTCCCTGTCCCCCAACCCAGCCAGCCCCCTGCCCCACGGCTGGATGGGAGCCAGCACCCCCTAGAAGTGTCCCATTCCCTGTCCCCCAACCCAGCCAGCCCCCTGCCCCACGGCTGGATGGGAGCCAGCACCCCCTAGAAGTGTCCCATTCCCTGTCCCCCAACCCAGCCAGCCCCCTGCCCCACGGCTGGATGGGAGCCAGCACCCCCTAGAAGTGTCCCATTCCCTGTCCCCCAACCCAGCCAGCCCCCTGCCCCACGGCTGGATGGGAGCCAGCACCCCCTAGAAGTGTCCCATTCCCTGTCCCCCAACCCAGCCAGCCCCCTGCCCCACGGCTGGATGGGAGCCAGCACCCCCTAGAAGTGTCCCATTCCCTGTCCCCCAACCCAGCCAGCCCCCTGCCCCACGGCTGGATGGGAGCCAGCACCCCCTAGAAGTGTCCCATTCCCTGTCCCCCAACCCAGCCAGCCCCCTGCCCCACGGCTGGATGGGAGCCAGCACCCCCTAGAAGTGTCCCATTCCCTGTCCCCCAACCCAGCCAGCCCCCTGCCCCACGGCTGGATGGGAGCCAGCACCCCCTAGAAGTGTCCCATTCCCTGTCCCCCAACCCAGCCAGCCCCCTGCCCCACGGCTGGATGGGAGCCAGCACCCCCTAGAAGTGTCCCATTCCCTGTCCCCCAACCCAGCCAGCCCCCTGCCCCACGGCTGGATGGGAGCCAGCACCCCCTAGAAGTGTCCCATTCCCTGTCCCCCAACCCAGCCAGCCCCCTGCCCCACGGCTGGATGGGAGCCAGCACCCCCTAGAAGTGTCCCATTCCCTGTCCCCCAACCCAGCCAGCCCCCTGCCCCACGGCTGGATGGGAGCCAGCACCCCCTAGAAGTGTCCCATTCCCTGTCCCCCAACCCAGCCAGCCCCCTGCCCCACGGCTGGATGGGAGCCAGCACCCCCTAGAAGTGTCCCATTCCCTGTCCCCCAACCCAGCCAGCCCCCTGCCCCACGGCTGGATGGGAGCCAGCACCCCCTAGAAGTGTCCCATTCCCTGTCCCCCAACCCAGCCAGCCCCCTGCCCCACGGCTGGATGGGAGCCAGCACCCCCTAGAAGTGTCCCATTCCCTGTCCCCCAACCCAGCCAGCCCCCTGCCCCACGGCTGGATGGGAGCCAGCACCCCCTAGAAGTGTCCCATTCCCTGTCCCCCAACCCAGCCAGCCCCCTGCCCCACGGCTGGATGGGAGCCAGCACCCCCTAGAAGTGTCCCATTCCCTGTCCCCCAACCCAGCCAGCCCCCTGCCCCACGGCTGGATGGGAGCCAGCACCCCCTAGAAGTGTCCCATTCCCTGTCCCCCAACCCAGCCAGCCCCCTGCCCCACGGCTGGATGGGAGCCAGCACCCCCTAGAAGTGTCCCATTCCCTGTCCCCCAACCCAGCCAGCCCCCTGCCCCACGGCTGGATGGGAGCCAGCACCCCCTAGAAGTGTCCCATTCCCTGTCCCCCAACCCAGCCAGCCCCCTGCCCCACGGCTGGATGGGAGCCAGCACCCCCTAGAAGTGTCCCATTCCCTGTCCCCCAACCCAGCCAGCCCCCTGCCCCACGGCTGGATGGGAGCCAGCACCCCCTAGAAGTGTCCCATTCCCTGTCCCCCAACCCAGCCAGCCCCCTGCCCCACGGCTGGATGGGAGCCAGCACCCCCTAGAAGTGTCCCATTCCCTGTCCCCCAACCCAGCCAGCCCCCTGCCCCACGGCTCTGTAGCCTGGGCCAAGCGGGGTAACCCTGCCGCCCCACCTGACAGATCTGGACCCCTTGATCCTGTCGCTGTCTCTCATTCTGGTGCTGATCCTGGTGCTCCTGGCCCTCTTTGCCCTGCTCACCCACCGCAGGTACTGCCCGCTGCGCCGTGCCCACCAGAACAGCCCACTCCTGCCCCGGGCCCTGCCAGGCCAAGGGTCCAAAGCGCTGAGGGGGGTGGATCCCACCACACTCACCCACCCACCCAGGGGTGGGGCCCTGGGGGACTGAGCCCTGGGGGACTGAGGGGTGTGGGCATGTATACGTGTGTAGGGGCCCCCATCTACACTTGTGTGTGGTGTGTGCACGGAGGTGTGCACCCAGGCGCATGCACACGCACACGCACACGTGCCTCACACAGACCCTCGCACGTGTGGGGGGGCTGTGCACGTGTGGGCCATACACGCCCAGAGGTGTGTGTGCTGGCGTGCGTGCATGTACTCGTGCGTGGCAGTGTGCACAGGTGTGTTACCTCGCGTGTCCCTATGCTTGGGGGGTGCGTGTGTGTGAAACATATGGCCGCTGCCCTCGCAGCATGGCCCTGGGGGGCGGCCCATGAGCGTTTGCAGGGGAGGGTGCCCCTGCATTTCGGGGGGGGGGTCAGGCTATGACTTGGCTTCTGTTCATCCTGCCCCCCCCCCCCATGCTCCTAGGTTTTTGAAGAAGAAGATGTGGCCCGTGATCCCCAGCCCTGAGCCCAAGTTCGAGGGGCTTTTCACCCTCTACAAAGGAAACTTCCAGGTACCAGCTCCTGCCCTGGTCAGGGGCCCCAGGGGGGCTACCTGGCCTGTGGGTGGAGGCGGGCACCACACTGCTCCAGGGATGTCTGTGCCTGGGGCATGGG